TAGTCACGATAAAATAACTCACAAATGTTGCTTCGTCTACGCGTCACACCGTTGTTTATCCCAGTAACAGGGATCGACGCTTCTCTAACCGCCAACATTTCTATATAACCCGGAACGAGCCTGTCCGTGTACGCGGATGCTAAAAAATATTAAAACTAAAACTAGTAGTTAAGCTAATGCTGGGATTTATTCCAGCACAACATAACTTCATCCCTAATTGTTGAAAATCCTATTTTCATTAAATGAAGCATTACTTTTTCTTTAAATATTTATTTACGTTGCCAAGCTTTAAGGATCACGGACTCATTCTCGCTCTAGTTCTCTCCTGCAGTGTATCCCGTTTTGCTGACATTTTTGCTTTAGCTTAACTCAATACCTAAAATTTGCGCTTATAGGTTGTTTAACTACCAAGCTAACGTAATTTTACCTATTCATGCTTGATAAAAAAATACTATTACTAGAAGGAAAGTGTTCTCAGACTCTATCTAAATGAAGGAAATTGTGTAGGAATTGAGAAATGTTTGTTAAGGCAGCGATATATCCTATAGGCTCGTGACAATGTAAGGCTTCGAACGAATTGCAATGCAATTCAAACCTACAGTAGTAACAATTTCAGATTTGATGCGAGGGCGACTTCACAAGATAAGCAGATGGTGAGGCGATAAAAATCAGTCATGTTTCCCTATTTCGTCCGTGTTTACCGTTATGAAAATAATTTTACTACTGAGAAATAATCATACGTTATTTTGCTAATAGGTAGGAACCAAAATTATGCTTCTCGAAAATCTTTTTCCATTCAATATTATGGCTACCCAGCTAAGTTTTGTAAATCTCTACGCTTGTGAAGACTTTGCGTAAAACTGTTGAACTTTCTTCGTAATTCATTTACCACACGCGATTTTCTATGTTATTTATGTCTTTAGGTTCCGCCATGGATATTGTATCTTCATTCATATATTTTTTCACAACATTCTGTCCTCAAAAATTTAAATTACTATTTTCTAGAGCGAATGATTAAAGATACTGCCACGCTATTCAAACAGCTTATAATATAATATAATAATACTAATAGCGGTTTCAGCGTTTATTAGGCCGTAGGCCTATCGCCGATTCTTAACATCGCAGAACAATCCCAGCATTTTGAGGTCTAGAACTCGCAACGCACTGCTACAATTCTGCTGTGCTTAATAACCGCCCGGCCTCCTCGCCGATTCTGACCAGAAACTGTCGCACAGAGCTGGGATCGAACCCGCGCCTCTCTAGTGCGTCAATCTTGGTACTCTGAACTTTAACCACTGGGCCACCCTTTGCTTTGCTTACTCCCCTAAGCTTTGACTTACTCTTACAACAAGCGTCAGCACGCGTATATGATTATTATTCTGAAGATATTAATATAACACAAATGGTAAAATAGTTTAACTAAAGAAAATGACCAACTAATTCTAATGCACGGTTGCCGCAAAATCAGTTTTGGCCAACCTGACGTGAAAGTCAAACGTGTATTTTGGTAGCGAGGATACGAAGATTTCGAGGGCACGACGCGACTGGCGCTTCAAGTCAATAACAACAAACTCTTCACTTCACAAACCCTTGATGCGACGCGATTTTGAGGCCTAATGCTGACTTGGTTAATAGAATAGAAAAACATGTGATGTGTTCAATAATTTAATGTAACCGTGAATAATTATTTCTTTCATTATTTTATTTTAATCACTCGTGAAGTCTCCTTCAAATGGGCAGGTGACCCCAGGATATATCACTTAAACAGGATAAAATGTAATCACTGCTAAAATTCGTCTCAAGTTACTATAACAATTTTCGACAACAATGCAATGATGTATCAACCATTTTCCTTGTCCGTCAACCACTGGTGTGTGATTAATATACGATTAAAACCCAAGAAACGGTAGACCTAACAAGATTCAATAATCCGTATGAATAAAATGATTTTGAAAAGTATTTATTTTGCAATTTCTCTGCATGTCACCGCATGGCCGCCAGTGTATAATGTCTTGAAGAGCAGTTCAGGTCTCAAATTATCTTGCCCGGGAATTTGCGATCCTCCAACCGCACAAAAAACCTGAAAAGTAGAATACGATTTTTACAATTAGAAAATAATTTTCATTTGAAGGAAATTAATCATTTTCTTTTTGCTTTTATATTTATTCTTTTCACTTATTAAGTCTCTTCTACCATGCAGACATTGTTGGGGTTTTGTAAGCCTTCGAGACAATCAATTTACTATTTTCATATATTTATGATACATATATTTATTTTTGATGTATTTTTCCATTTATGACTGTTTTAGAGAAACCTTGGCAACAAATGTTGGTCCAAAAATTGTGCGTACAAATAAGTTATTTATTGGGCATCCAAAGTTTACGAATGTTAAACATGGATCTAAGTAATATCATATTTAGATTAAAAAACTCTTCCTGAACATCTCAGCTAATGCAAAATTCTACCACTCTGAAGTTCAAAGTTTTTAGATTAAATTAACTAAAAGAAAATAGACATAGATATCGTAAATTTATAAATGCCAATAGTTCAACAGCCCTGTTGATTATCCTTCATCATCCTTGTTTTTGGAATGTTTTTGGTAATTCTCACTGGTGGCTATAATAAATACCCAATTTTTATCAATTGCCACAAAATTTGTGTTTTTTGTGTAAATATTATGGATACTTCGAAATATGATGCATATTTTATGGCACTCATTAATACTAAAGTAAACCTTTTGTGGAATTATTGACCATTCAATTTCTAACCTGTTCACGTGATACTTTCCTTCATTTCTGTACCATTTCCTTAAATAATCCCAAAATTTTCTGGATCAGTAGATGGCTTAACTACGCTTCTTCAACAAGAAATCTATAAAAATTGAATTCACGATTGATATCAACAGTAAAAAACTGCTCTGACTCACACCGATTCAATACTTTTCTGCCTGGTCCCTCCCGTTTGGAAAGACCCGGCGATTCTTGCTTCAATATTCCTCCCTTCAAGCCTTTAATACTCAAGGTGAATATTGAACAAATGCATCATATATACTGTGTTAGATTCCTGCCGTGACATACCTACTACCACGCCGCAGCATTTTACATCCATTGCATGATGTTGTTCGTTGACAACTCGATGAAGGTGCGATTAGGTGCACCGCGACTCCCAGCTGACGTCAGGTGCGCCGCGCCAGGGTCGTGATATACCTCCCGGATTTGGGGGAGATTGTGGAACAGCACACGAGCGCCCGTAGCGGTGAGGCCATTTCTCGGTAAGACCAGGCTCAGGCTGCGATGGCCATTAATTAAAGAACAAATTAATAATACTTTTTCAGGAAATCTGAGGCAGAATTTTTTTAAAGTTGATCGATAGAAAATAAATATGCTTGACTGAATGAATCACGTAAGTTGGCTACACCAGCTTTAATTGGAGGCTTATGTAGCCTCATTTTCTATATACCAAAATAACTCCCATATATTGTTAGTATAGACTATAGGGAGTTTCAGGCTGTGTCGAAAGCGCCAGGCATTTGGCTCCACTACCTCACAAGGTATTATATAAGAAACTCTACATATTGCAATGTTTTTTAATATTGTTCGTTCATACTTTGATTCAAAAAACTGTTTATGAAATATTTAGAATATTTTTCAACATCATATCAAATCATTTCGAAAAAGAAAGTCTTAGTTCTCAAATGGCAAGCGCTAGAGTAACAGAAACTGCCAGAAGTAAAATACAAATTATTTCAAATTGAGTTTATTCATACGCACCGAGAATTCTCGAAATTGCTCAGGATGGGGATGATCCAGTCCAAGTCTTCATCGTAGAGGTCTGGGAAGTGCCAGCGGGTGACACGACAATTGTAAAAACCATAAGGGAAGTAGTCGTCGGAAGTCGCTCCTCGTACACAACAAGCATCGTCTGAAGAACAGGCTGGACTCGAATGAACAAGAAACATTTTCTCAGCTAATTTATCCTTCTATTCAGTATTAAAAATCTTTGTTATCCTTAATCAATCCATGGTCCATCATTTTGAAGGTAATGACACGCCCGCGCAAAGAAATTGACTTCTAACCGAGGGTACTGTTGATTCAAACTTGCATTGGAAGCGCCTACACTGATAGCTGTTTCTTTCCAGCCTGCACCGTAAGTTGGCTGCATTGATGGCCTGAGGCAATGTGTAGTTAACGAATCGAATTTTTTTCAAAGTGCTGATCATTCTGGCCCATAAATGCCGAGTCAGTTTGCATTGTTCATTGTCTCCGCAGTGACGATGGTTAATAAAAGCCTCCGACCTCTTAGACGGGTCAATTGATAAATGACAGGGACGTGTTTGTTTCATTAAGTTATGCTTTCAGTAAATTATGTAAACTGGTACTGTAGCGTGGCGAAAATGTAATAACTTATGGTAATGCAATGCATTGGAATGGTATCCGTGCTACTGTTCGTCCACCACCGTCATTCATCGTTGACAAGAAACGGCGAGGTCGCTTTCTGCTTTTTAAATCATCAATTTTCAGTATCAGTAACAAAGAAGGGTTCAACTTAGGGTTGAATATTACAAAACTTACCAATTTTATCTGGAAAATCATCTTCCCAGGTGCAGCTGTTGCTGTCAAAACGTACACCGATCTTGCAATTCCCTGTTGGAGTTTGGGAGCCGTGAATCTATTTTTCACAAAAAGTCCGAGGTAAGTTACCACAAAATATCAAATTTTTATGTTTGGAATAATTTATTTTGCTCACTTATTTGAACGTGTTCGTGATCCTCATCAGTTGCCACTTATCATTTAATTTTCTCTTGCACATTCGATTTTCTTGATTAAATTGAACTCAAGTTATGCTTCATAGCTGTGAGCAGCTCTTTGTTTATTTGAAGTAATTAAAAAGTAAATGAAACGTAGAAACGCGCGTTTGTGTTTCCTAACAAACTTGCTTCACGAATAAAAAATGCAACATTAGCAATGATAACAATTCTGGGTAAAAAGTGGCTTTTGAAAGACTTTAAAATTTCTATGACCTGCAAGAGATAATATAGTAATTTATTGCAATTCAGAATCAGAATTCAGAATCAGAAACAATTTTACTAAAATATGAATCGATCTCAGGATACAATCTACCAATCTGCATTCCGACGCGACGTCGCCTGTTTAAGGAGGCCCTGACTTGACCAGGAGAGCCGTACAGAGTATCTAGTCGGTCACTGTAAACACAGGAAAATGCGAGAGAAAATATGATGGAAGCACACCTTATAGTAGAATGAAAAGAATAAGGTACAGTAATTTATGGAGTTTTCAAAGTTATTAAGAAGTTGAGATTTTCATTTCACGTCTAGACTTATGAGCATGGAACTTGAAAATTTCAACTCATATCGAAGCTACGAACAACCCCCAACATGGGGTGTTCCAACCACCAATTTTTCTTTTGCTGATTCTAGATAATACATCGCATTTATTCTTGAGAAAAGGTTTCTCACCCTAGCCCCCTGGCAACGATCTCCTCTACTGCCAACGAAAGTTTATAAGTAGTGGGTATTTTATCCTTATTTTTACAACACTTCTCTTTAACTTCACTTCTTGTTTGTCTGTCTGTCTGTCTGTCTGTCTGCTACAAATCTTGTAATCAAAATTTAATACACTTCTACTTATCCTATCGATCTGAAATTTTGCCCACTTGTGTAAATTTGGAGACAATGCATGAATCAAATGTAAAAAAATAATAATTTTATAAATTAAAAAAAAAATTATTTTTTCAATATTAAAAAAATTAAAAAATAATTTTGTCAGCTACAAATCTTATAACTGATATTTGACACACTTTTACCTGTCTAATTGATCTGAAATTTTGCACACTGGTGTGAAATCAGAGGCTATGCATGAATCAATTAAAAGAATAAATAATTTTGAAAAAAAAATTATATATAAAAAAATTATATATATTTAAAAAATTGAAAAGGTAATTATTAAATTTTCGAAAATTAGATGAGAAATTCATTGTACATCTGTACGATTGGAGACACTGGATTCTTTGGAAGTGTTGTCTTTAAAAAGTAGTTTTTAAACGTATATTTTATCTCCCTTACACTTTTCGATTATTTTTCTGAATTGTCAAACTATTGACCAATGTACCGAAATTTTTTGAGGATTGCTGCCATGCCTCCATCCGACTGCCTTTTCGGCCTCCAGAAGTAATCCAAGGGCAGCAGGCTGATGTCGCCGGTGTGGTGGGCGGCGAGGCGGGACAGCAGCTCCCGCAGCCCCGGGATGGGGCGGGTGTGGGTGGACAGCACCACGAGGCGACTGGGCTTGATGTTGTTGGACAGGCTGGCGACAGCTCGCTCTCCTTCATCACGGCTGGTGACTGTCCAATGCACGCCGTGTTCATATGTTGGAAGCTCATATGTCTGAAAATTCCACGGAAAATTTTCATACTGTAATTTATATAGAGGAAGATTAATTCTATGTACAGTAATGGTTGTTCAGTAACCTTAAGAGTCCCATAGAGCGGTCGCTGAACTCAGCATCGAAGCCAAACGGCCTCAGGCGGTTAAACTTCTCGCCCAGGCTGCCTTCTAACGTCGGCATCGTACGTCTGGCTGCACATTCCCCTCCTCCACTCCCCCTCCTCCACATTTTTAATCAGCGAGCGACATACTACTTATTTTTCTACGAAATTTTACTCTATTATCAAATTGGTTGTTTTCTTGCTAATGACCTTTATAAATATTATTGACAATACGTGTTAATAATTTACGGCAATGCTGTGTCGTGATAGCACAACCAAGTTAATTTAGGCTGTTTCATAAAAGCACGTGTAAAGATCGCTCTAGCATAAATACTAAAATTTCATGTCAATAGAAATGCATATATGTAAGTCACGAAGCATCGACAGTAATGTACAAAAATGTGTCTCGTGTGTCACAAAAATGTGTGTCTAAACTCGGCACTCTGCGCGAACTGACGGCAAATTTTGGCGGCAGCGTCTGGCAGCGTAGTGACGTGGCTGAGGCTGCGCGAGAATAGTGACGTATGAACTGCACTAATAATTGGGCCCGTATTTTTTTAATTACGTCGAGGCATACATTTTCATTACTATTTAAAAACTCTCAATTTCCCGAGTTACCGGAAAATTTCTCATCTTCTTATCTCAGCCGGTAATCGTTGCCCAAACACCAATGCCGAGGGATGTGGTACGGTATCGCCGTACCACATTGCCACGGCATATGGAATAGAATAGAATAGAATAGAAGTGTCGGCGCTGAAGAAATAGGCCCATGGCCTGTTGCCGATTCTTGAACTTTTCGTGACTTGATTCACAAGGGATCCGGCCTTTGGAACCCGATCTTTCCATAGCTGACGATTGATTGAGATAGCTGCTGGACTTATTGCCTGGTCCACATGTCGGTGACTCGAAGCGAGAAGAAAGGTTGTCGCATGGATGTGTTCCAACGCTGTTTTTTTAGTTTATAGCCGTGGCCCCTGGTGTTGGGTCTTGTTTCAAATTCTAGTAATCCTTCTGGGATTACTAGTAATCCTTCTAAGTCATGAGTATACTTGTATACTTCAATGAGGTCCCCACGCAGACGTCGATAACTGAGGCTTGGAAGCTTCATAATCTTTAATCTTTCCTCATGGGACTTGCCTTTCAAGCCCCGAACTATTCGTGTTGCGCGTCTTTGAACACTCTCTACTAAATTTCTGTCCTTTTCAAATTTCGGTGACCATACGACGTTTCCAAACTCTAGCTTCGGGCGCACGACAGCAACAAACAACTGCTTCATCGTTCCTGCATCTAGGAACTCGAAAGAGCGTCTGATCAGTCCAAGTCGTTTATTGGCTTTATTAACTTGACCTTCAATATGCTTCAATATGCTTGACCTTCAATATGCTACCATATCAGAAGTGCATGTAGACTCGAGACAAAAGTGAGCCTTGTGGTCCCGAGGACAACGGTTGAGAGGATGAGTGGGGAAGGGAAGGGCTGACGAGTAATTTATTGCTGTTAGCCGATGGCAGAGTGCGGTGTGTTCCCTCATCCCCTCACCTACCTTCTATAACTATACATAACTGTATAGTATGTATAGTTATACTAAATCTTTATGTATGTATATGTATGTATACTACTATAACTTTACATATTAATGTACTGACTGACGGGTATCATTCATTAATAGATATTGTAACATAGCAATGTTAACTAATTTAGAATTTGTAACATTGAATGTCATCGTTATTTGAGTATGTACTCATGAATTTATTGACAACACCATCGTTAATATCGCTCCAAATATTTTTACTAGCTGCAAACGGATTAGTTTGTAATGGTTTTATTCGATATTTAATTAGAAGCTCTTCCAGAATCATCAATCGCAATATTAAGTGCGCGAAGTTTCAAATCATAAAATATGGTAAAATTATGGAGAGATGTTCAGGCAGTTTGTTGATTTGATTGTCACCTCAGCCTCCACAGAAATTCGATAGGTAAGGGTATAAGGGCTTCTGTTTTCCCCTCTGAGCTCACTCTCATGTCATTATCTACCCGCCACAATTGTAAACAAGCTTGTGTTGTGAACCTCGCAGACATTGGCAGTGTTTTGGGGTGGTCCGTTGACAGGACGGCACTTTAAATCCTACGCCTTGCCTCTCCTTTTCACACTCAAACACAGAATATCACTCTATATTCATGCCTATAGTCCATATGAGTGTAGAATGTTAAACTTGAAACGTTAAAAAAGCAACAGTGTAACAGTTTAACATTATTGGTGCCTAAAAAACAGTGAATAGGTTAGAAAAACGCCAGTGAAAGTGAAAGCTTATACTGTAATCACTAACCATGTACAATGTGTTGCTGCTGGTAATTCTAATACTTATATAATTTTTACTGTAATTAATTGGCAGTTATTACTCAAAAGATCACAGAGTAATTATTGGCGCTAAATTGATCGATGATGTAGTAACGGAACGCAAATTCTTATTTCGTTTGGTATTTCATAATATAATATTCTTTTCATTTCATGACATGAATATTCTCTCACTTGTCATTTATTATAATGAAATGCATTTTATTCATGAGTCATTCGTGCAATGAATGTGCAACTGATAGAAGTAAAGCTATTATCATATATTAACAATTGACAATTTATAATTTAGATTATTTACATAACATTCAGTTCATACTGAACAAAACACAAGACGCGTATGCCAGCTGTTTAATTTTCACCTGTCCCTGTTATTGACGATACGAGGCAACAGGTTTTGCATGTAAAATGATATAAGATGCTCTTCCATGCGTTCTTGACAAAACTTTTTTTTCCATTTCAATATGTTCAATATGCATATCTTCGGGGATCCACGCCACGAAGATGCACTTGCTTCTCCCTGTAACCCTCAGTTGTCCTTGAACTTGAAAGAAGTATGAATGTCGTCTGTTCACAGTAATTTGGTCATCAACTAGTTTCAAATGGTCGCATTTCTTTTCACGGATAGCATCTTTATTTGTTCTGAAGTGACGCGCAGAGCTCGGGCACTTAATATCGACAATGTAGTCATTGTCTACGAGACCATCGGGCGAAGCGTCCAAGAATGGATAGACTTTATCCACAAAAAGACCACAGCCCCTAATTGTAATTACCATTTTTTCTTGCAATATCTTCACTGATATTTTTCCTTCTCTCTGCCCCATACCACAGCAGGGAGCGAACTAGTTGTATTATTCACCAGCCTGCAGGCTACAGCATCCTTGTTCGTACTTTTTCTCAGTTTACTTACAAGACCGAAGTTTGATGCTGTCAGCCTCTTTCTTTTCTCTTTGTGCCACAACAGGGAATTACTTTGTTCAACGGTTGAGGATTCGAGGATTTTAATTTGATCATCATCCAAGGAAAACGCCTTCAAAAAGCTCAAACTTGCTTCTTCCGTGACAAATGCAAAGGCATTGCTTTCATAGTCGTAACTAGGAGGGATTTTTTCTACTTAATTTACGCTCATGTTCGCTAAAAAGCCGCTTTCTAGCAGTTGCATTTTGATGTGCTCGCTGAGCTTCCATTTTCACAATTATGTAGCTTGTTTGGAGATTTTCGCGGGAGTTTCTCACTAATTTGTGAATGCAATTGGCCACTGTTGTGTTTTCGATTACTGCACCAAGTGCTCTGGTTTCGAAGCTGTTAGTCGAGCTGAAATTGATACTTTTAGCACCATTGAATTTGGAAAGTCGACTGTTATAATGTTCTATACGGTTACTGATCAAATCATGCAGTAGACTCTCTGAATGGTCCTTCACTCTATTTAGTATTTTCATTATAGCCTGAAAAATTACAGTTATTCCGAGATCAGGACAGTAATTATAATCGCTTTGGTTTTTACAAAAATATTTGCCGGTTATTGAACACCTCGCATGATCGTCGAACACATGTCTGGCACTGTTCACAATGTCTGTACGCAATCCGCTTATTCTTTCCGCTTCAGTTTTATCAGTCAGATTTTTGTGATGTTTGATTGCACCCGTTATGGCACTGACCAAGAGGTGCACGCGTCCTTGGACCAATTGTCTTTGATCTGCGGAACCGAGTTTGGCAGCTCCTCTAGATTTATAGGCATCTTCTTTCAAATTTTTCTGGAAATTCCTTATGATGTGATTTCGACATTCAATTGTTTTAATCTCATCAGGAGCATAGGGCATGATTGTCAACAGTTTTGTATAGACGCTACTGTCTCCGTCACTGACAAAGTAAGAATACTTCAAGCCATGTGTTTCAATACTTGTCGAGAAGCCTTCAACGAGGATGTCCGCCTCCATTGGTGCTGGACTTTCAGCCCAATTTAGACAGCAGGGATGATCATTGGGAACTTTCTTGTTGCGTTTTGCGTACGCACAGACCGAGCAAATTCGATTTCGTACGCCCATAAATAACACTTTTGCGTTTTGTAGCCGACGATTGCTGCAAGTCCGGAGAGAGAAGAATAATTGTGATCATACGATCGTTTTGACCAGGCCCCGTCAGCAGTTACCATAATTTCCGGAATTTCATTTGCATCAATTCTGTTCTCTTGAATGGCCAGTTCTTTTTCTTCTTCAGCGGCCATTTTCATGTTATCCATCGCTGTTTCTGACCATAGCTTACTGACTCGTTTTTCATATTTATGAAATGTATTTTGAGAAAGAAAATTAATGCCAAGTGCACCTAAAAACTCTGTTATCTGGGTTTTGCAAATTCCTATTGAAAGGGCTCAAGATACCGCAGAGTAGTTGGCTGAATGCACTCCGTGTTCATCTTTTTCTTCCTCAGTTCGGATTCTTATTTTCATTTTACACATACTACATTGAAATTCAAAGCTTCCAGAGAGTCCTTGTGGTATTTCTTTAACGAAAATAAATAAAATTGTAGAATGAGCACATGTTAGTATTATGCAGCGCCATTCTACACAAATCCGTAAATAGCGTTTTTACATTAAAGATCCTCTTTCCAGATAATGTCTCTAGCATTTTTTTTAATTGTCCTAGGATATCATTATTTGTAGAAAAGTGATCTTTCGCAACATCCACGTCGCATGGTTTCATCATTGCGTTTTTCTTGATGTTTTCATAGAGGTTTGAATTTAATGTTTGATCAATATTTTCGACGATACTTTCGCTTGTGGCGGTATTTTGTAGACTTTTCAGGAGCTTTTGTTGTTTTCTGCAAACCAAACAAAGGGGAAAAATTCAACATCGAACAATAAAAATAAGATATGGAGCACCAAAGCAACCATTTACATTTAAGTTTTAATGCACATGAAAAGTATAATGAAATAACTTAATGAATTTTCAGTGCCAATAAATTGTAATAATCGTCAGGTTATACAGACATGTTTTCAATACGAGTAATGAATGTCATGAATCTTACCTCCATCTTTTTAAATGTAGTCCTTTATTTATACGTCTTGCTGAGAGAATCAGCCTCGGACTTTTATGTTGCTTGCTAGAGAACCGCATGTTCTCACCAGTGTCACAACTGATGAAAAAAACAGAAGACTGTTATTCAAACGTCTCGGACCTTTAAAATCACCCCCTCTCAACCACTTGGGGAGGGGCTTGGAGGAAGAGCGTAAGGAATAGGGCCGTCCCTCTTGAACCGCTGAGTGATTATATATAATTAGAATGTCGGTGTAGCGGGCAAGCACTAGCATGTACTGGTCGTAATCGATATGTAAATACCTGAATGGAGGGCTGTGTAAGGTCTGGTGCAGCTTATTTTAATACAAGGATTCTAGGCACAAGTAAGTTTCAAATTGAGCAGCGGTAACACGTCGAGCAAATAAGCCTAATTTTTTATTATAATAATAGAAATATAATTTATTATAACAATAGAAATTTAATATCATAGAAATTAGCATTTTTACGATCATGGTAATAATAATTGATATCAGATATTCAGTGTGAGAGTAATTCAGTGGGCATGGTCTAATATTAATATGACAATTTATAAAGCGATGTTCAATGCATTGTTACGGACTACTTTTTATCCCTGAAAAATTTTTTACAGGAATACTACATGGTAGAACTACAGATAGGATAGAACTGCATGAAATGAAGAACATTTCTTAACCGTATTTAATAAATATCTGACATGGAAAATTTCCACATCGAATGGAATACTCCAATAAATACATAGAATCCTGAACGTATCGAATTTAATATGCCATACTCCTGCTAATTTAATTCAAAGATGTGCATTACAATAATTGTTCACGTGGTAGCAAATGGAAAATTTTATACTAAATTGTGATGATTTTGCATTCATTCTCTTCATATTTAAAAACATAATTACGCTCATGAACGACCATGACGCTCATAGACCAGACTGCGAAGTGGGCTGGAAAAGAAGAGTGCATGTTTACCTTGAAGAGAAGATTTATTGCCTGCGCCTGCAGGAGAGTTATAACAACCAAAGGTCTGGTCGTGCTTTAATCTACGGAAGTTTCACCTACCTTTGGGCTTCAAATGCATATATCTAATACTAGAATAATAATTCAGAAATGTTTGGGGTAGCGATCAATGAAGAATAAATAGTTAGACCGACGTATATCGAGAAAATGCAAGACAAGTCACACGCTATAGGAACATGGGGGTGCATAATTTTATCCTCCCTGATAACAGTCGAAATAAAAAAATTACATAATTTATCTAAATGCCTGCGCATTGAAAATAATTAGCCAGGACAGCATTCCAAATTTCAGACTTGTATCTTATTTATGAGGGGGGCTATTGCAGTTATAAATAGTTAAAAAATTCCATAGCCACTATCGCGGCTGAGCGCGTTGATGCCGAGTCCACGGAACTCTTAATGGGTTTGCGAAGGAGGAAAAGGTGAATTAATATAAAAAAGCGTTTATTAGGAAGATGAACGTCACCATTTTCCGCTTCAAAGGAAGCTTTCTTGACGTTTCTTTTTCGTATCGCTTGCTCTAGCCTTCTAATGTTTCTCAATTAAAATACAGAGTGTTAGTTCGTGCTTCCGCGCGAACATAAATAATCTCAATCTATTTTTTTGTATATTACTTATATTCCTTTCTTTGGAAATCATAAGATCTATCCGACTTTCTCGTAGCAATTAAAATAAAATTATATTGCAATAATCAATAGAATACAAGTTTTTTTCGGAATCAAACCAACACAAAATTATTTGCATTATTAAACCAGCAAGGAAGAAAAATATATAACTTGATCGTAGAAAACAATTAGTGTTGAGACTCATAAGGAGGGAATTTTTATCGCTATATATGGCCACCCATGACTCTTTTATATTACAATGTCTTCGCTGAGGAGAACACAATGACAGTGGGGGCATAAACTCATTATATGAATGGGTTATTGTAGCACAACTTCAGGCAAAACTGGGTCAGGAAGACCCACACAGGAATGATAAATTCTACGTTATATGTACATGGACCTCATTCTCTGAGCGATGACTCACCGGCCCAGGAACCTGGAATGTTCGAGAAGTCGCTCCCGTAGTTGCGCCCTGCGGTGGCGTCGCCTGAAGGTCGTTTTGCACTCGCAGCACGGCCGCGCCAGCGCCGGCGCAGTGCCGCGCCGTCGCCGTAACAGGAGGCTCTTGAATCTAAAATTTAGAATCTATTAACTCGTCAGCAACACGAGATACACTTAATTAACATACAAATGCCCGAATAAACGTGCGTAACACAATAATATAGTGCTTCAAGTTTCCACTTTAACAGCATTCATATTTTGATTACGATGTAAGAATGATCATTTTGTTGCAATTTAATTCAATTTAACCCTAAGAATTTATTTATTTTAACCTACTCCTGGCATTTTATTTGATTCATATCTAATATTTTAAAATTGAATCTTGAATCCATAGCTCTGAAATGATCTGTTGGTTTATTGAATGGTATAAAAACCGTTGTAATAAATTTGGAGCTAGTACATTAAATGATGTATTATTTATTGGTAGATTCATGGTATATTGTTTGAATTTTGCTTCAAACCTGCCAGTATACGGCGTGCATGACCGATCATGCTCCAAACCTGCTCTGTAATTCCAATCGGTCCTAACTTCTTCTCCCACTTATAACTATCTGTCTTAAAAGTCACTTTACTCGCCTGTAACGAATCCAATTTCTCCAAAGCTGCAGACAACCTCGCTCTGATCTCAAATGTCTCCATATTTTCCGCATGTTTCAATTTTAGACGACAAAGAATTTCCTTGCATTCATGTCGCCAGTTCTCATTCGCACCGGTGACCGTTACATCCCAGGCTTTCAGGTCTTGCTCTGTCGACAGTTTCTGCACCAGCAGCGAATTCTTCCATTCTTGGCATTTAATCTTCATTTCATCAATAAAGCTCAATATATCGTCTGATACGGATACTAAATTATTCACGCGCCCAAGATTATCGTCTATTGTTGCCCGTATTTTCGCCCATGAGTTCAAAACAGATTCATCCTCTTTAAGTTGATCGTCTATCACCACAATTTTGTGCGTGACGTGCGTGCCCCTGGTGCACGTGAAGCACACGAGTTCCATGCAGTCCACGCAGAGGTAATCCAGCGCCTTCCCATGATGGAGGCACGGTGCCTCTGACAGCGAGCTCGGGGCATGTGGGCGAGCCGTGTTTTCCGAAGGAATCAATGCGTAGTTGACCAATATTTGATCAATTTGTTGGGAAACTTGTTTCCCACATTTTGGGCAATTTTTGGTTCCAGGGAGTTTTAGTAAATTTGTAATGCAAGAGAAGCAAAACGTGTGGTCGCAGGTCAGGCGAAGCGGCTTGTGGTTGCCCGAGTCGAATTTCTCGTTACAAACGTCGCACTCTATCGTCGCACTTGCCATCTTGTGAAGAGTTTTTAAGTTTCCTGTAACTATTATTGAGTGATGTCCAATTAAAATATAGGTACACTTCACACAAACCTTCTGAGTGATAGTTAGTGCTCCAGCATCTGTTGGTTTAATATGCTTGTTTGGTCGACATCACTCCTATCCTCCAAGAAAAGGCAACTCGTTTTACTCGAATTAACGTGGAAGTTATGATGCTAATGCGCAAAAAAGTCTATTGTAGCCTTCCTTAATATTATCAGGTGAGAGACGAAAACACTTATATATATTCGTACTTTGTTTGATACTTGCAAATCAACAATGAAACGTGGTGCTTCATAGATGTAAATCTCATATAAACTGCAGAAACTTTTACTGTCTACAAGCCAAATTTCCTGTAATCTGTTCCTCTACGATAATACATACTATAGTTTTTAATTCTTCAAAATTCAGTCTGGAATTAAAAATTTAAGAACAATCATTGATAATGCTTGAAAAAATGGTTGTGTGGGGAGCTGTACCACTGATTTTCGACATCATCATACATCTTCCCACTAATTCATATTTTCAATTAGTTACAGAAGAGTTTTTTTCTTCCCAGCGTTTCTGTATATTCGTATAAACAGGAAAAAAATATTTTAGTCATGAAAGTCACTGAAGGCGCATATGCATGCTGGCGCTGTGATCACTGATTCTACTCTTCTCACTAACTTGGCAAATTGCGTGAAGAATTCAGTGTTTAAATTTTTAATTTCCAAATGGAGTGGGGGGTATAAACGAAGCAAAAATATCTTCATAGACAATTTACATTTCCTGCTATTAGTGCCTTTTTCGGATTTAAACAAGAAGAAATTAAGTAACCATCCAGTATATTAAGATTGAATTTACTGCCTTGCACGTCTGCCTTGCGTCTGACATGCAAGCATCTGATGTTACTCGTGAGGTGACGTCATCTTGAGGACCTCATCGGGAACACTCAGAGAAATCAACACACTTTGTCAAAATTGTGATACACTTCTTGCCCTTGCTTATGTGGGCCTTCTTGACTCAGTTTTGCCGGCAAAAGGACGTATCAGTGCTACCTGCAGAAAGTGCGTAACTTTTTGGACAATATGACCCCTTCATTTACGTATATGAGTGGACGTTCAGCTCGTAAGCGACAGCGCTCAAAAACTGATAAAATAGTGCCTTCTGAAATGAGGGTTGTAGAAAATAGCAATTTGCCTCACTCCCTGGGAATGTTATTTATGAATGTGTGACAAAGTTAAAATACAAAAATTTAAATTGGGATAATAGCTTTTTCGATCACTAAAATAACACGAATTGGAGACAACTTAATGTAATTCTTTATTTCCATATTTTTCATTGTTTTATTAGAAAGACATCAAGAAGAATAAATTTTGATAGAAGAATAATGAAAGTATTCGGTTTTGAGAAACCGCCGCTCACGATATATGGACAAGTTTTTCGTTATTGTTATTGTTTTCGATGCGTTCTCTAGAAGCGAAAGTTAAATTAATTAAACAGAATGAGCGGCCGCAGGGCAGGCAGAGCGGCTTGTGATTGTCCGTGCTGAATTCTTCGCAACAAACTTCGCACTCCAACGTTGCGGTGGCCATGTTCTTTGTCTTTGTTCACTTGAATAAATAACGTCAATGGCACATCTGAGCACAGTCTTCAAACGTATATTGAAACAGTCCTCAAGGCATAGTCTGCACAAATATACGTGTTGGCTTCATAAGCATGTCAACAACTTACACTCAATGAACGGTGATCTTTAATAAATTGAGACGAACTATTTTTTATCATCTCTTACCATCTAATTATATAGAATAAATGAATACATGGTAGATGTTAATAAAGTTGCACCAGGCTGTATATATTTCCTGTAAGTGAAAAAGCAGCACAAATTAATATATTAGAAGTTAGTTGCTAATATATGACTGGTAATGCTGGCGCATGCAGCGTCGTCAAGCAGCGCGCGACCAAACACGCCCCGCGTTGTTAAGACGCGCCGCTGCTTGTCGGGCGCCTCGGGGCTCATCCATTACCTGACATTGCCAGCAGCACTTGATGCGGCGGTAAAATTTCCTGACATTGCCAGCAGCACTT